ATCAGGGAACTGAAAATTCAGTTTATAATAAAAAAACTTATTATTAATCATGAGGCTCTAGATAATTCATGAACTTCACCATTTAATTATTCCCTGATTACTGTTACCATTTATTACTCACAGTTCATGAAAGCAAGCTTTTTTTTATATTTTTTAATAGCGCAAATAACATTATATTATTATAACGTTCTTTAAACTTACAACACTTTTTGCTTTAATTTTTTTAAACCAGGGAAGTATAAATTTAATTTAAAGAAAACTTATTATTAATCATGAGGTTCTATACAATTCTTAAACTTCCTTTCTTTATTCATTTATTTTTCACATTTTATAAAAACAAGTTTTTGTTACATTATGTAATAAAGCACTAATTAATTACTCATGCCGTTTAAATCAATCTTCCAACTGAACCACTTGTTTATCCTCAGGTTTCTTTCAATGCAAAGAAAATTCAAGAGAAATGCAAAGAATGTTCAAAAGTAAAGAAAGCATGGAAAAAATATCCGAAAAAAAGGAAAAAAAATTAATAAAAATCCGGAAAACAACCGATATAATCTTTTCATCAGCTCACACGATTATATCCGCAAAGAGGCGTGCTTTCTAATATTGCATCAATATAGTCAGAGCAAAATATAACAAAACAATAGTGTGAGGAGCACTAAAAAAATTACAAAGAATTTACAACAAACGAAATAGAACACATTAAGTGTTATATAGAAGACATTAATTGTGCGATATTTGAATGCAATCTTCTGAAATCTATTGTAGTTATACTGCCATAAAACTAGAAAAATGTCTTGTTGACATAATTATTCATTGAGACCATAAGATTATGTTATCCCATATAAAAGTATAATTTAGTGTCAAAAAATTAACAAGTGAAAAAATAAATTTTCATCATGAGATGGGCAAAACTCATGTAGACCCGTAATTTTTGTCTTTTCTTGCTAATGCCAACTTCAAAATAATTTTGATTGTTTCATTACCACGTGAAATAGGTATACAGAGTGTTTCATTATAACGTTCTCAGTAAACATTTTCAGTATCTTTTTCTAAAAATTAGAAAAAAAGTATGCATAATTAGCATATCAAATTAGTACATATCAACAATTATTGATGGAGTCTTATAACATTTCTTTTTAAATATATTCTTAATTGAATTGCTTTCACAATGAGAAACTTTCATTACTCCGTTTTAATATCCATGATCATTACGAAATACGCTGCATATATTAATTTAGAATAAAATTTTCTAACAACTATACATTTTCCATCGTGTTTTTTTATTGTAAATTAAGTTATAGTCTTAAGAAACGTAATGGATGTGAACGACTATCAAGAAAATATAAAGAATAAGCATTTTTACAGACGTATAACTTAGATTAATTTTTTAATTTGTATACTGTTTAATATTTCAGACTAGGCTCTACGAATTCAGATTATAGTCTATAAAAACATACTTGCATCATGATAACAACTAAATACATCCAAATTAGCTGCATCACGCCAACATTCTTATTCAATTTATTATTATCATGAATCTTTTTCCCCATAAAATGTTACCGTGTGAATCTTATAATTGTAAATAATTGTTCATTAAATTGTATAATGTCATGCTAGGACGAAAGATTAGTAAAAATGATTATTCTCATTTTTTCTCTTGTTCAGAAGTAATCACGTTAAATAGTAATAGAGAATAGTGTTATAAAGGGGTTATTCTGTCGAGTATATAAGACATTTGTGAGGTTTTTGGCTGTTCGCTTTATGCTACGAGAAAAAATGTATGGCAAAAAACTACCACATTATGGTAACATTTATTGTGTTTTTGGTTCTATAGAAACAGCAAAAAGCTCGGTCATTTTTACCGTTGACCTTCGGTAATAATTTTTACGAAATCAGCAATAAAATATGGTTAACGTAAATATGGTTAACGTAAAATTAATAACGTGTGATAAAATTTGGTAAGTGGGGTAAAATGTGGTAATTTTATCATGATACTTTAGAGCACGGCATAAAAAATAATTTATTCAATGCAATTTACTTTTCACTTTTGTAATTTTTATTAAATGTGTGGTTATAAGAACTATAATTTTGAAAACCAGAAGTTTCGGTAAACAGTTACCTTATGAACGAAAAATTTATCAAAAAAATGCTTTAAATGCCGTATATTTGGTTTTATTAACCATAATTATATTTTTTTTATATTTTATTTATACATTATTTTTTTATAACTAGAAATTAAATTACAATACAGTTCGGTGATTTTACTCGAAAAAAATTATTCCAATCAGCAAAAACAAATACATTCTAATCCCAATATTCAAATAAACTGGATTTTGATGATTATAAAACCTCATTTTCTTTCCCTGAATTTTATTGATTAAAAATTTTTTTTCTTCTTAGAATAATAGTTTGCATCTCTTAATAAGTATAGTTTTCTTTTACTTCTTTTTTTACAAGGATTCATAAACCATAAGCTATTGGTGGTTGTTACGAAAAATCCTGCGTTTATGTAACAAATAGTTAAGAAATCTTTTTAAGCTTGGATAAATTTAAAATGACATCATAATAAAAATTGGTTAGAACTGATTTTCTGGATACAATTTTAATAATCCAAAAATCATGAATTTAAGACTCACATATGCCTCATAAATTGCATTAAATTAATTTTTATCAATAATCGCGTCAAAGCTGAAAGTACGAAACATATAACCGTATTTCAAAGAAATAATGATAGAAATAAAAGATGCAATACATTTTGTATATTCTATCGAAGGAGAATCAAGACCCGTTTTGTAAAAAAGACAACGTAAACAAAAATTATTATGTAGGAAAACAAAGCGATATATCTCCTTTTCTACGAAAGAAACATATTTACTTTCAGAACAGCGTATCGCGACATATTTACAGCTCTACCCAGATACTGAAGTGCAGGTATAAATAAAATTTTTGCCTTTCTTAAGAAGAGCAATTCTCATGTAGAATTCTTCTGGATACATCCGTTGGATTTCTGACACTGACATCTTATTGGCTGATTCTTCCCGCTTAAGAAATGACGTCAGGTGCAAGACAGTAAAGTCATTCCTACCTGAGATTGGCATTTCATTTCTTTAATGTTAACTTATCGTTTCTTTGGCGAGATAGGCGAAAATATATTCGAACAATATCTTTAATTACTATGATAATTGATAATTTAAGTATTTATAATTTTTTATTTTAGTTTATAAGATTATTTTTATTGTACTGAATGATTGTAAAAGTTTCTAATTTATTTTAGTTTTTAAAATTTAAATTACACGCATACCGATAATAATTTTAAGAATGTCTTAAAAATCATAACTATTTTTAGTATTGTTAATACAGAATATCCTATGGTAATTTTTTAATCATGGCGAAGTTTCAAGCCACTCAAATAGTCCTAATATTAATTTTGTTATTATAAAAGTTATTTTTTTAACATTTGCTGAAAATATAGTAAAAAGGCTAAAAAATTTTCATAACAGCTATTTATTTTAAATGAGATATGGAAAAGACAGTTAAAGTTATTGATCCAGATGTAAATACTTTGGAATTTTATTTTCAAATCCTCAAGAGGAGAAGTTTTTAAAATATGTCAGTATTTTTTTGAAAAATAAAAATGTTGGAATCCATTTTCAATTTATAAAACCTGCTACAAAATTATCGAAAATGCACAAATTTTCATTTTTAAAATTCGGCTCTATTTTTTTTCTAGTTCTATTAATATTAATTTGAAAAATTACAAATTTTAAGCGACAGATTTAAAACAAATCAACAATTTTGACTGTGTATTAAGAAAGACATATTTCCTTTTGTTAAAAATTATGAATAATTTAGGTGAATTTAAGGTAATTTGTAAATACACTAATTTTAAGTGATTGTCACTCAAATGAAAATATTCTTGTCATGTTACGGCAATAGATCGTGTATATTTAGACACGACTTATTGTAAAAAAATATTGTATTAGACTATTTCCGAATGTCAAAAATAACCTCCACAATTTTAAAAAAACCGATTCGAAGAAAAATGAAAAAAAAAATGATTGACATGATGACAACAATTTTTTGACAACAATTTTTCTGAAATGATTGACATGAAAAAAGGGAATTAACTCCTACCGAGTGTTTCAAATGGCTATTTTAATTGAATTTACATAGACATTTTCTTTAATATTCTTCGTTATTATGAAAAATATATTAAAGCAACTTAAAATAATTGTATTTAATACATTGCAAGAACTTACAAACACTTTTCTCGGTATTTACCTACATTAAAGGGCATAATTAACTATATTAGAGCGGATTTTAAATATAAAAAAATTTACACTTACTTTTTATCTATATATTCTAATTTTATAGCAAATTATTAAGGACGTTACAACAACTTACTTGCGTTTTTCCTCATATTTTCTGATACAAAAGCACATAATTAAATATATCAAGATAATTTACAAATACATCTATCCATATGATAGTAGGCAATGGAACTTACAAAAAATTTTCTCTAAATTCCCCGATATTGTAGCACGTTAATTAAATATATTAAAGAAACTTATAAATACTTTTATTTAATTTTTCGAGGTTATAACAAATAATTACATTAAGTAAAACAATTTACGCATAGTTTTTTCTGCATTCCCTTATGTTATAGGACAAATTAAATACGTTAAAGGAACTTACTTAAACTTTTCTCTATATTTGATGCGTATTACAGCAATTTAATAAATAAAACTGAATATAGTTTTAAACTAATAAAAGTTGAGAAGATATCTTCATTTGATTACAATAACGTTTTGGTAGAAATTTTGCTTTTAGCTATTTGTTCATTAAACCTTTCATAATTTTTCCATGTTTACCAAAAATAATAATTCCAAAATTTGAATAATAAATTTTAAAAAAATATTATATTTAATCAAATATCAATTCCCTTAGGCCATTTAATCAAATAATTCTTGCAGATTTTCGTATCCTTTGTCTTTCTTTAATCATCTTAGGTTAAGGCATCCTCCTCGGATGCGGAGGAGGATTTCACTTTATTGTCGCCAAACAAAGTGAATCATTTTCATAGGCAACCCCTTCGCCAACGCGCAGCGGGCGGGTGTTTCGTTATAAAAATTGTTTCAAATCTCACCCCCTTTTTCAAACGCAAACGATTCCTCACCACTAGTTTATCACAAAGCATTCAGCACTGCAGCAATAAAATAATTCTGAAGAAATTATTTTGAAGTCTTCTAGGAGTTTTAGTGAAATAAAATCATAAATTCATTAAAGAATGCTTGGTTTCAAAACGAGTCTAATTATTTTTTTGAGTGCGGTTGTCTTAATTATTTTGATATCAGGTGCTGAAAGTAAAGGCTTAGATTGTGAAAGACATTGTAGGATCCACCGGGTTTCTGTTGGGTCCTGTAGGTGCAGGCCAGAGCTATTCGTCAAAAAGAGATTTTCCAGGTACATTCATTTACTGATAAATACATTTAATTGTTAGATATCATTTATTTAATAATATTTGAATAAATACTTTAATTTAAATCTGCTATTATTTACATTTCAGTATTCATTTCCCTTAAATTTCATCAGTGGTAATACTGGTGGTAGTGGAAGAGTTAATTTGTCAATAAAGACTTTTTCAAAAATTTAAGGGATATGGGGTATAAAAAGTTTGAAATAATTAGGGACTTATTTAATTATTGAACTCATAAGATATAATGAGCTATGAGCTTTCTTTTAAATGGAAAAAAGAATCCCTTCATATTCTACTATACACTGTAAGAGTCTCCGGATCAAATTACGATACAAAGTGCGGGAACTTTGGGTCAATCAACTGTAAAATTCATTTTACCATAATTCCATTTTAATTGTAAAGTATTGTATAGTAATTTTTTTAATCATAGTGATTCAGTGATATCTCAGTAATTATTATTGTTAAAAATATGTTGTATTAGAGTTATTTGTTCTGTAGCATGTTTTGATAAATATGGATTTTTCGGTAAAAATACTGGTATCCTTAGTACTGGTATTTTTTCCGGTATTTGTTAGAGAATTCCTCACAGTGTAGTATAGCATATAATTAAATACATTTAACTAATTTTCACATACTCTAGCTTATATTTACTTATACTATGGCATGTAATAAAATGTATTAAAACAATTTAAATTTTTTTTAGTATTTTCCTTTATTGTTATGAAATATCTTAAAGAAACTTGCATTTACTTTTCCTCTCTAATCAATATCTAGTGGGTGCAGACCAGAGCTATTCATCAAAAAAAAATATTTTACATCAGTTATATTTATTTAATAGAACATAAAATAAACATTAACTTAATTAGCTGTGATTGACTAGTGTATTATAAAGAAAAAATATCATTAACTTATGAAACCATAAATGACTATTTTATTTTCTCAGAAAACGAAGCATCATTAACTTAAACTATAAATGATTATTGTCTTTTTATTGAGAATAAAATGCCAGTAACTTATAAAACTATAAATGATTATTGTCCTTTCATTGAGAATAAAATGTCAGTAACTTATAAAACTATAAATGATTATTGTCTTTTTATTGAGAATAAAATGTCAGTAGCTTATAAAACTATAAATGATTATTGTCTTTTTATTGAGAATAAAATGTCAGTAACTTATAAAACTACAAATAGCTTGTGTTATTTTTATTGACGTTTCTAAAAATGCATCATTAACATTTTTTTTCATGAATGTAATAGATTTTATTTATAAGTCTGACTCGAAACTAGCTTAACGAAAAGAAGAGTGTCATAGTTTATTTAAATATTTATTAATTTATTTAATTGAATTCTGATAATAATTTAATGACAAAATTTTTGTAGAATCACCCATAATTCAGGATTCTAATATTTGTTTTTGCCATTTGGAATTCTGTTTCTAAATTTATTTTTAAACATATGACAGAAAGAGTTTTTAGGCAGAAATATTTCTAATTACATTTTAAATTGGATTCGTGACATTTAATGTTATTTAATATTAATGGAGCATTCTAACATAGTATAAGCATTTAATAATAGTTTGTGTATAAATCACTATTATTGAAAAAAATTCCAACCAAGATTTGTTTGATACAATTGGAAAAGTTTATATAAATTACTTTTCACCTTATCTGATGAAAGAATATCGGCTCAAAACGAAATTGCACAAAAAATTAAATATTTTAACCAAAGAAATATGTTATTTTTATTGCAAAAAATATAATATTGTTTTATATTAATAAATGATATATTAACTGGTTAATTTATGCGAGAAGACCTCTACTGCTATAAGTTTCTGTCTATGGTTAATGTTAAAGATAAAAAAAATAAATGTTTATAAGGAATTAAAAAATACCATACATCCGCTATTGTAATAATTTGTTATTATTATTATGATTAGTAAAAGGAACGCATTTTTCAACTATACAACAAGTGCAATGGAGTATATTTCCTGTATTATTACATAAAAGAAACAAAAAGGAATGAAATTTTACCTAATTTTGTCTTACAATTTTAATCTTTTAAATTTATTAAGTTGTGTGTGGGAAACCACTGTCCAAGTTATCTTCCATTCAAAAGAAAACTTGGATTTTTATGAATCATGCATCAAAAGAATGCGTTTTTTGTTGACCAAGCCTCCTTATTTCCTTACTTAACTATTTACAATCAACATTTCGTGTTATCATTGGTGTTAAAAACTATTTCAAACTATTATACTTCTGTCTTTTTTTATTGCTATTACAAAATATACGCTTTTTTCATAGCAACAAATTCTTCATAGACGCCCGGTGGCTGAGCGGTAGCGCTTCGCGCTGTCGTGCTACAGGTTCCTGGTTCGATCCTCGGGCCGGGCAAGGTTGACTCAGCCTTTCATCCCTTCAGTGGGTCGATAAATGAGTACCAAGCATGCTTGGGAACTTGACACTGGGGGTTCCGCGCTCGGCTGACCACCTGACCGGAACATCTGCTCCTGCACCCCAGAGCCCAAGGTCAAGAAAATGAGATGGGTACAGTAGGCCTTGGCCCTCTACGGGCTGTCGCGCCACTGAGTTTAGTTTAGTTTAAATTCTCCATAGTGAAAATTCTATCTACTAATAGGGGTTGTCATTATAACGGACTTACACTCTATTATTTTAATAGATAACTTGTGATTTTTCTTCCTACTTAATAAAGATTTCTTTTATAATTACAAATGAATTCTATATTTTCAGGCATGTTCGAAATTTGGACTGTAGAGCAATTTTATAGCAAGTAGATCACTCTTTTCGCCTATGTCACACGCTTAAAATACATTAAAATATCTTGCAAAACTAATCTGCATCATGTTCCAAAATGTCAAATTTTCAAATCTAATTACGAAATTTCTGAATTAATTACTAAAAATGATCAGATTTGTCTTAAAATTAATCTTTCAAGAAAAATTCTTTTGAGTTTACTTTAAACAGTGAAATATATTTCTAAGAAACTCATACATTTTCAAGAGTCGATATCATTTTTAGTAATTAATGAAGTTACATTTATTTTACGTTCCATCATGTTTCTTCAATTTCCCTTTGTATGAATTTTACTTCTTGACGTTATATTTCAAAATGTCTTCTACTAATTTTTCATTCGTTCATGACTGTGACTTTTTCGAAACAAAAAATACTCGATGAAAAACTTATAAAATATATTTTTATTTCCAATGAGCTGCACAATCGGTCTTGTTGATGAGCAGACCTAGTGCGTTCTCCAGAATCCGGTGTCTGGGCCGGGGATCGAACCCGCAGACTTGGGCTTGAAGGCCGACGACAAACCAACTGCGCCACCCAGCCACAATCGTATGAAATATTACAGTCTTAAAATCGAGTATTAATACTTGCTGTAATGAAGCTAGTTGTTCTTAAATAAATGTTGTTAATTTCTAGGAAAAAAATACAAAATATTTAAAAAATAATCCTAAAAAAAGAATTAGAAAAAAAACCCCGCGAAGGCTATAATTATGCTAAAATATATTATATTTCATAAGAGATTTGAGCTAATTACCGAAGATAAATTTCAGGAGTGTATATCAAAATTAAATAATTTTAATGCAGTTTATTTAAATTTATTTTTCTTGTGTTCTAAAATAAACTTAAAACACATCTATATAAAAAATAGCAAGTGTTTCAATAAATAATTAACTAATTTATAAATAATAAAAAAAATAATTATTTAACTTATTTATCTTTTTTTGAGCAGAATAAAATAATAGTTAAAATAAAAAAATATAAAATTTTTAAATTGATGAAACATAATATTTTTTTTTGCAAATCATTTAATATATCGGATTAAATATGATTCATTTGTAATATAAAATTTGTATCGTCATTTAATTTTATTCCCAAAAATTTATTTCTAATTGAAAGAAAAAAATATGTTTCCTAGAAAAAAAATATCATTAAAAAAGATTAATTTATATTAAAAAAACTTAAGCTCATTTTATTTTAAGAATAAATTTCCCAAACATACAAGAATAAGAAAAAAGTATAACTTTATATTATTTTAAAACTGTATCTAATAAATGTTGTTATATTAATTTAGGACGCTGTTGTCTTTTTTTGTAGCAAATCTCAAAGGAATATTTTGTTCTCTCAGTTGCAGTTGTAAAATTTATTTAAATTTAAAATATTAGTTTTCAGAATTTTAATGCAAAACTTGGACTATTTTAGTTGAGTTCGAAATCGAGTTCAAACCTTTTCAGGGAATATATATATTTTGAAGTCGAATTTATTTTCACTATAAAAATGAATTTTAACCATTATCAATCTAAGAAATTTATATATCATAAATATGAAACATTTTTAGAAGTATTCTACGTTCTTCAATTTTTTAATTTTTTAATTATTTTTTACAATATTTCTTGAAAATATATCCTGAATTTTATTTTCGAGAACAAAACTTAGTGACATATATATTCTCTTACTTTGCTTCGATAAACATTAGAATTAAAAACTATTTTTTTTTCATCTTATATATAGCAGTATGAACAAGATATCAAATTTTATGACAAGCTGTGTTAACAAGGTAACGAGATATATTTAAAAAAAAAACAAATTTATGTAATATTGGTTACATATATATCGGTGGTATATTTTTATTAAATGTACTAAATTCAAAATAAATAATTTGAGTTGTATAGAAATGAAATATTATGAGCAAGTTTATACTTACTGTCTATTTATTAATAATAAATATTACTGTTTGTACTTATTATTTTTCAACCGTCTTATTATTTTTCAACCGGTAATTTTATAACCGTCATTAAACAACCGATCCAATTTTATGGGTTCACGACTACTAATGCTCAACTCCGTAGCCTTGTAATTTTGAACCCAATCCAGAAGACAAGGGAACTCCTGGATCGAGTATTGGGAGAAATTTGACTCCCAATACTCGATCCAGGAGTATTGGGAGTCAAATTTCTCCAG